GGAGTCGGGTCGAGTCAGAAAATCGAAAACGCTAATACTCTTTTCAAGTAGATATTACATATATGTTACATGTACATGGGGAGCAATGATTCGCTGGGTCATAGTAGTAGTTCTAATTTATCGACGTGATTTACCGTTGGGTCGAAAACAATCTTAAAACGCGCACGACATACAGAAATGTCAAAATATGTATATAACAAGTTAAAACAGTTTTAATTCTGCACTTTAACTGTTAAAAGTTTTAATTCTGCTTGTTATTTACACATTTCTGTGTCGCGCGCTTCTTGATCGTTATCGGCAAGTCACGTCGATAAATTAGAACTACTACTATGACCCAGCGAATCATTGCTCCTCAGTGTACGTAACACCTTTACCACCGTAAAACGTTGATACGTCTGGCAAATGATGCGTTTGCCTGAGGATGCTTGCCAAATTTTTCAAGATCATCTTTTGTTTGCCTTTGTGTTCTTGCGCACTCTTTCTTTCACCTGCTTCGAATTAAGTGGTTGTACGATCGTGGTCAGAAAGGTTATCCGACGTTTTACAATAAGTTCGCGGAATATTCGTAAGTATCGTTGCATAGATATTCGTGCATATCGTTCCTTTGTTCTAATAACGCGTCCCTGCACATGTCCGTGAGCTAAAAAATATAATCTCTCGCATAACAGACCGAAATTTATCATAAAACGTCGGGACAACCTTTCTGTCCGCGATTGTACACCGGAGGCTCGTTTTCTATCGCTACACTGGCGAACTAGTGCAGTAAACCAGAATGAGAAAACGTATACTTGTTTTACTCTAACTTATTGCACTAGTTCACCAGTGTAGCAACAGAAAACAAGTCTTAGGTCAATAAAACTACAAGTTAGAACTTATTTTTAAGGTGATGTTTTGTACGAAGCAGCAATAAAACTGCTCGGATAAATATCTGCAATTTCTTCAACGTATTGGCAATTGGAAGAGAGTCCGATTAACATGAGTAAAACGCCAGTTTCCATTCTCCAAGAGATGATGGTGAAGCAGGGTATGACGCCTGATTACGAATTGATACATGACGGCGGAGGGCGTCATGTGAACACTTTCACGTATCGCGTTACATGCGACGGTCTTAGTGCAACTGGTACCGGTCGTTGTAAGAAAGATGCTAAACACGAAGCTGCTAAATTTATGCTGACAGAGATCGCTGCACATAGAAACTACCCACAGCTGACAGCCGCTAATACGCCAACAGTGTCTCCGTCAAGATCACCGTTCCATTGCGGGCCGCCTCCACCAAAGATGTCGAATATGCCTTTTTTCAATTCCGTAGGTGAATTGCAGGTAATCTTAAATTTAACAATTAAATTTGTGATTATTACAATTTTATAATGTTATGATTTCTGTGGGTTTATCTATTTTATTATTATTTTTTTAAGGAACTTTGTATGATTAATAATCTGCATGACCCAGAATATATTCTTATCCGGGATATTGGACCGCCGCATGCCAGAGTCTTTACTATTCGATGTAAAATATCTAATTTTGAAGAGGACGGAACAGCAACCACGAAAAAGCAAGCGAAACACGATGCTGCAAAAAGAATGGTGGATAGAATCAAAGGTCTCGTGGATAATTCAGAATTCTATAAACAGAAGAGTAACGAAGAGGAATTTTCGACCTTATCCATTGCGACTCTCGACACGGAATTACTGAACAGAAATGCAGAAGAGCGCTACTGCGCATTGACTAAAGCCGCGAGAAAAATTAACTTGGGTATTAAATTATCTGAATATCATATCAAATGGAAAGATTCCTCGGAGGCGGAAAGGATCGATAAAATATTAGAACACTTGGAACATATGTTTCCCACTGAATTTTTTAAACTGAATGAATTCGTTACTGAGGAATTCATACAGGAGAAGATAGATCAGTTGAGCTATATGATGAGAGAAATCGATGTAACAATTATTGTAACGGATTTACCTACACATGATGATCTATACTTCATGAAATCAATACAGATTACTACTTGTCCTGTTCTCACGCAGATTGGTAGGGGAAAGAGTAAGGTGGAGGCTTTCTGGAGTGCGTTAACCCAAACGATAGAGGCACTAAAATTACTTCTATTCTAAAATAAAAGATCGCTAAAGTATAATTTACGTGATTCTAAATTTTATACAATAATATAAATTAAGTTCTTTTCCAGTGTTATACACTTTTCAGAAGGTTTTGAAAGATTTAAAACTGATAATTTGGTTTAGTTTTATTTACTGTACAATGTTAACATTTATCTTTATCTCTTAGTGCTGTGCAAAGCGAGGCAATTTTTATTTTATTATATATATTGTCATAAACATGTGGAAGATAGGAAACTATTTTATTTTTATAAAGTATATTTTCGCAGCATAAGAATTACAAAATCTAATCGTACAGAAGACTGTTACCTTTTTTGTTATTGATTTATGTAGTGCTAACGGTGTAAGAAAGGCGAAAAATTATAATTAAGTTAATTTTTATTTTGCATTTATACTGTTTAAAACTCGTGTAAGGATGCACGTGATTAACGTTCTAATACGTTGTGATTTACTTTAGTAAACAATATATTTTTGTATGTTGCACGAGTAGTTAAAAATATTATGCGATTTGTATTCTGTATCTAAAGTAAACGTTTAAACATTCACAGTTTACCATGATATCTTGCTTGATATACTATTGCTTGATTCTTCACAGGAAGCAATAATATAACAAATTTAAGAATTGTACCTGATATCATTCAAATATAATTGTATATTATTTAATTGCTCTTAATTCTTATATACAATTTCACACCCAATCCTTTATTTAATATCGCACAATAAGGCTACACCTCGAAGTGTCCAATGCCGGGGATTGTAGTCTGTTTCAAAATCAATAGAACCTACATACTTCGCATCTGTTCTTTGAGGTTTCCTATATATGGGGCATTCATATAACTTCGGATCTTTACCGGCGGTTGTGTTTATTGCGAAAATATAAATAACCGGCATTTGCTCGTAAAGAACTTTCGGTCTACTCTCGACAAGTTTACTGGCTTTTCGATCAAGTGATGCTCCTTCCAGAAATAAACCGTGGACGTAAACTCCTTCCTGAGGCTGACTCTTGATGTCCTCTTTGTTATAGCGCGTGATCACGTTTTGCAAAACTACGGAATCTAAAGCCCAACCCTTATGCGCTCTGGTCACTTCCTAAAATGCATTAATTTAATAAATTTAATTAAAATTACAACTTGAGTAGTAAAAGATAAGGCTAGTTATTGTAACAAAGTTAAACTGTATTTATTGCAAATTTTTATTTACTGTAACGCGACGTGTTCAACAGCGATGTAAGTAAATCTAATTTTATTAAAAAATTTCTGTAAATAACTTATATATTGTAAATTATAGATTGATTATGAATTCTAGATGACATTTACAATTCAAATGCCAATTTGATAGTTTTATTTTCATTGCAAGAAAGTAACTGTAATATAAAGATTTGTTACTGTTTGAGTAACTATCATTGTAACGCGTTACTTTTCAGAATTGGTAACTTGTAACTGCAAGTTACATTTTTAGCGAAAAAACTGTAACTGTAACTAGATACTTTTATAAAGTAACTTTCCCAATCCTGGAAAATTGTAATAGCTACAAAATTTCTGATAACTTAAAATTTACCGACTCCATTTGTTTTTTCTTGAATGCTGATTAATTATTACATTAAATATCTTATTAGATTAGATATATGTGTCCTTTCAGCAAGTATATAATACTCGACTTCTTAGCTTTTGCATTAACAGAATTCTTTAATGCTGACCTGTCTCATAGCCGTTAAGAATCCCTGCGGATTAAAAAATCCAGTCATCCAAAACACTTTTGGACGACTGTGAATGCACCATTGTCTGAACTGATGATCTCTTTCTAAAAGCTCCGTGTACCAGAAACCTAAGGTTGCCGATTCCCAAGATATTTTCAACCACTTGTCCGGGATGCGTGCGTCATACATAGCATCCAATGATTTCCGCAGGCCTTGACTCATTACTATAGTACCTTCGATTGCCAGCTTCAAATCCGTTAAAGTACTTCGCACCTCCTTGATAACTCGCGAAATTCTAAAAAAAGATTAAAAAATTCACTTTTTATTTATTGTAGAAACTAGTATAACAGGCGAGAAGGAAGATTTACCGGTCAATTTCTTGTCTTAGAAAAATGTTCATCGGCAGCAATGGGCCCATTCTTTGAAGCGCTTCTTTCACCTCGAAGGAATTGTACTGCTTGGGTAATTTAGACAGCATATCAGTGGCTAATTTGTACACGACGGTCTCTCTCGTTTCACCCCCCTGTGCACCACCCTCCTTTGGCTGTACATTAAGAATTGTATCGAGTATTCCTTTCGCTGTATTGATTTGATAGGTGATGTCGGCGTTTGGATGTAGCCCGAAGACTTCCGGTGTGTCGGTGGCGGGTAAACTGTCGATGTAGTCCAGGTATCCCTGAAGATTTCTCGTCTGGGGCACTCGGTATCCCCGATAAAATTCAAAGCCAGGTCGTAGCAACACGTCACAAAACCAGACGTGCGTGAAAGTAGTTAATAAACGTTTGTCAAAATCATCCGTAACTCTACCGCCATATTGAACCTACGTGTAAACATATTAATAGATACAACTTTACAAAAGGTATGAAATATACACGCAAAGAAAAGATTAGCCAAAAGAGCTAAAATTTAGCAGTGACAGCTAAAATGTGTCTTTGAAATAGGGACAGTTAATGTTGTTGCTGCCACACCTCAATTTATTAGCTCTTTGAATTTAGATACTGCAGCAAAAAATATTAGCTGTTAGAAACAATTAAGTAATATTTAGCTGTATATATTCAGCCATTTAGCTTTAGCAACAGTACGTAAAATACTTGCAGTGATGCTAAGAATATTAGCCAAAATTGCACGTGTCTTGGTGGTGCTAAGTGACCTTAGCTGCTATGGCCCGGTAACCGGGCCATGCGCGCGGGATGATGCAATCCGGCAGGATCAAAAATTTATCTTCCGTCGGAAGACGCGTGAACCGCTCGACGGCCCAGACGGGACTCCTACGCCCGGCCACGTCACTTAGAAGACACTCGCAGGAAAATACGTTGAACAAAATTATACGACGAAACTCGGGACGAAAAGAACGATGCCGTTGTACCGTACCACACGCTGCCACACACGAAGTAATGCTCCCGGGGAACGCTCCAGAACAAGCGCGCGAAAAGCGAACACGTGAACACCGCGAGACGCCTCGTCAGGTGTTACACGCGTAAAGCACGTGTAAAGCACGGATAAGCTCGAACCGAAGCTGAGCCGTGCCCGCGAAAAGCCCGACACTCGCCTTCGCTATTCTTTTCAACTAATAAAGTTGTATCTCGCAGTGATTGAATTTTATCTATAATCACCAACTTTTAGCAATGGCAGCAAAACACTTAGCCTTTTAACTAAATTCAAAGCAGCTACTGCAATTTAGCTGATATTACTAAGTCATTTCTTTGCGTGTAATAGTATGAAAAGTTGCGGTACGTCGCTTCGTTTATTTAATGAAAATAAACGAAGGCAAAGAAATAGATCGTGACCTCTCCAAGCATGTAACAAACTGTCGGCCAAGAAACACCCTTTTTGGGATCCATATCATCCAAGTGATTCTGTATGAATTGAACCGAGGCTGCAAAATCAGCCTGATTAAATTCATAAGGTATATTCCAGCCGAGCGGTCCAAATTTTCTTCTCTCTTGTACCACAGTGTGTAAAAACGCAACAGCGTATAACAAAGGTGGCCACTGGGATTGAGTACTGTAATCCAATGCATCCTGAGTCACCGATTGATACGTTCTCTTTAAACTAGCTCTTATGCCTTGAGGTGGTTCATTTGTGAATTTTATTGCCATCTGAAACATACCGTGTCTTGTACATACTTGCTGTATTTCTTTAAATTTATTTCGCAGATTTCTTCTTCTTTTTATCGTCAATGCGACAATCGATGTTTACGTGGGTTAAGAATTGGATACGCCAAGTGTTATAAAATAGAAATTCAACCTGTAGCAAACCGATGGGAAATTGAGCGTGTACTTCAGTTGTCATCCATAATCTGAAGACGTCATGAACAGTTTCTGTTTCAACAAGAGCATCCATTATCTCCGTACAGAAAGGCAAGGATAAGTGAATATTTTGTAACAGAACCCAGCCGCCTGTATTCATGGCTTCGCTAATCATCCTTCGAGCATGCAGCTCTTGGCCTTGCCCCATAGATACTGAATTTAATGCTACAATATTTAAAAATATGTTTGAATATGTTATTTAAAGATATTTAAAATGGTAACAACATACTTCAATATCGTTAAAAAATTAAATTTCTTTTTAACTGTGTTAAGAAAACAATTGAATTGCTGACTTACGAATCGCTTTTTGTTTAGCTAGCGCTGTAATTTGAGAACTTGGATCAGATCCTATGGATAATAAGCATATCAGTGGCGTCCTGGTTTCAGACTCTAACCACGTTGCTTCTAAATCCAATATCTTAGCCTCCCCGTATTCTTTACCCAGCGATTCAGTGATGTACCTTTTCGCCTGGGATAAAGTTCTGTCGGGGCTCCACGACCTGATGAGCAATAATTTCCGGAACACATCGAGACTTTTCTGATAGCCGCAAGGCAGATCTTCCTCCTCGGGTCTCTCTTTCTCGTACCATACCCTCCACTCCTTTTCACTGAATTCAATTTTGGTCAGTATATCCGAGAATACTTTCAATTTACTTATTTCGACTAAATTTAGCCACGTTATATCGAGAATCCATTTGAACGGTTTTGGTGTTACTGCATTAAGATCCAAGGATGCTCCACCTTTTATGAAGGCGTTGAATTCCGCATGAGAAATGGCGTTTCTATGGCAATCTATCTTCATGCCTAGCATCAATGTAAATAAAGATTGATGCCTCTCGTAGAGACTTCTCAGAGTAAACGCCCAAACTTCGAACGTGAGATGACGTAGGATAATGTTTATTCGCTCAGAAGTTATGGGACTCTTCGTGGATTTCGTAATCGAATTATCGAAGATAGTCAAGAACTGCCTCAACGAATTTTGATACATCACGTTGACGTTGCTCATTTCGACTATCAAGAAATACAAAATCGACCCCCTCGACGCAACCGCGCGAAACTCTTCGCGCGCCAGGGTGATTTTTTTCTCGGTAAGAGCGGACACTTGCAGTTTTTCATTCACCGATTCGGCCGTGGTTTTAGTTTCGCGGAGAACAGTTATTAACGCTTCATCGTCCACCAAGGAACCTTCCGAAGACGTAAGTCTGTGTAATAGCGTGCTTTCGAGTTCCTTCATCGAACGTTGATTAGTCATGACCGATTCGAATAGCGCGACTCTTTCTGCTTCTAAATCGGCCTTTTCCATAAGTATCACTCGACCCAACAGTTGATCCTCTAAACCTAGCATCGTCACGGTAAAGTCAATAATCGATGTCTTTGCGGATATTTCCGGACTGTACGCTGGGTTTGGTAGTTTGGTGGTGATATACAGCATAAATCCTGGCATCACGTCACATTCTTTATCTCCAACAATGACCTTCTCAATAGACCCCGATTTAATAAAGTTCTTTTCGAGCACATTGTCGAGTACTGGATCGAGCTCCTCCGCAACGTCCTCGATCAGCAGTGGTCTGCCCAACGAAAGACTGTCCTCGAGATGAGTTCGGAAATACTTATGATTTAGCGAAGTGATCTGCAACTCGTTTGTGCTCTCCTTATTC